CTTTCAAATTTTCGTGCATAAACTCAATTTCTCCACAATACGAGGTTGCTTTTATTGTTTTCCCTTGAGGCTAGAATGAATAATCGCTTTGAAAGTCCATCATACAGTAACCATTACCATTTTAGGGTGCAGTGGAGGTTTTGGGCATTGTTTGGGTGATTCACTTGCATCTAACCACTGGCGTACTCTCTTACTGTTGTCAAAGAATATCCATTTTTCATCGCATGTAATGATTCGATGCAAAAATGGTTCTTTTCCGACCGGGAAAGCAACAGAGAGCAAACCGCAAAACAATGATTTTTTTTTTTTTTGGCTTTTTTTTTTGGCTTTTTTTTTTGAGCCTCATTCAGTTCATCCGGAACAAACCGATGCAATTTCTTTACGTTTTGCAATTGCTTTCAAGTACCGTAAACCAGTTGTGCGAGATGTTTTGAGGTTTGTTGCAATTTTTCGGACTGTAGTTCTCAGATCAACTAAAGAATTCAATTGATTATGTCTGATAACCAATCATGGGGAAGACCATGATTGGTTATCAAACATAATCAATTTATTGTTTATTCGTTTATTTTCAAGACTATAATCTCACGAACAAAACTTCTGAAACCATCACAGTACAGTTCTGGTTTCAACAATACCATTACCAAAGGCCGCCATGATATTTCCGAAATGCTTCAGAGGCAGAATAACCCAGTTTGTACTCATACAATAAGATTACTGGACAGTTTCCTTGTAATCTTTTTTATTGGGATTATGAGTAACAATATATTGAAAGAAAAAATTATCTGGAAAGAAAAAGAGTCAGAAATATGTTAAAATCTTTTTTATATACTAAGGAGTTTATTTCGTTGGACGACCTGATCAACAAACAACCACAAAAATGTGTCATTTTATGCGTGACAACCGAATATTTTGTTTGGGTCAGTAATTATGGCTAGGAAAGTTTAGATATAAGACAAATGGATAACAGCTTTTCCCCATCCCGCTTTTTGCCTAGTGCCACATTTCTTGTAAAAATACAAGAATAAATATCTCTTTCCTCATTGGTACCGCGGCTTCATGAAATGAAGCGTAGTACTAGATTGTCAGTTAGGTCTCATCATTTTACAGTTGAAATTTCTAAGTGTATCTTTAAGTTCTTTTTAATAGATTTTTCTCGCGCACTTCTCGCTTACTAAATTGTCTTCCGGTTTCTTTCTTAGTCAACTTTGATCTTCAAAAATTTTAATGCAATGCAGTCGTTATCTTCTGTGTTAATTCTTGTTCTTTTATTGTTCTCTCTCCTTAATACTTTTTCTCATATTCTCTAACACTCACTAACCCCTTGCATCTTAGTGGCTTTATTGCCTTGATTTGGGGATGAAATGATTATATTAATCCCGATCTTTTTCATGTCCTTTCTCCTCATTAGCTTTTTTCCTGTTTCCTACGCTCTGAGTAATCCTCGGTGTCTTAGTGGCTTTATCGTCTTTTGTAGGGTGAAATAACTTTAAAAAAATCTGATTGCCCGTTTGATTTAGCGTACCTTTTCGCAGAATATTCTGATGAAAGCTATGATTATTTTGATTTTGTACTTTTTTTGTCTAGAGACAAAACCTAACCCTAACCTTAACCCCTAACTCCTAACCCTAACTAAGAACTTATTTACACCCTTGTGCAAATTAATTGAAACAGCCGCTTTAGTTTCATTTCTTTCGCCATACGGTCAGTTTTAGACCCACTGGAGTGATACGGTGTAATCGATTTCTATTTTTTTTCTCAGATTAGATTCTCAAAATATATTTATATTACTGCAGTGGTGTGCAGTAATATGAATCTATTTTCGGACTGCATAATGAAATTTGTTTGGCCTTGAAAAATATTGTGTCATCCGCATCAGATCTTTTATCACTCACAGACACTATTGTCTCGACTGTCAATTAGTTGTCCTATGGCTATTGTCTGCAATGGACGTTACTCCATGGAAGCGTACGAAAATTGTAACGCTGCGTGAACACACTGGCAAGCCTTACCAGTGAGCAAATCAAAGTACTATAGATTGGCCCGGAAACTCTCCTGATTTAGTTCCAATTGTGGTCAATCTGCAAGAAAAGATTTCGTGGAATGCATATACGAAATACTAACATATGCACTGGGTGATATTTCATTAGAAAAATATTGGGGGAAAAAGTAAATAATAACGGAATTATTCGTTTTGTTTCAATTGATTTGCACAAGAGTGTATATAGTCACTTCTCGGATAACGACCGGGCTCAATTCCAACGACCTGGTCGCTAAACGAGACCTGGTCGCTATTTTAGGCATACCACGTATGCAATAGATGAGTGTCAACCAGCTTCGAATAGCTTTATAGTCATTTTGCACTATTTGTAACATTTCTAATATATTTCGAAATGTTTATACAATACAGTAATTTACTGATTCATTTTTTACGGTTTATCAACCCTTTGCAAATTATTTAAAACCAGAAAATATTTTTAGACTGAAAAAATTATTTTGAGATAATAATGATTTTAATGATTTTTACTGATACAAGTCTTACTAATTAACCCATAGCTGGAGGGAGAAGAGGTGGATTTATAATCTTCCAAGTCACGTAAGTGAATCTAAGGAATTCAACTGGAACTGGAACTCTCCGAACCGTTATTCACCACCTGCACACCAAAGCTTACAGCACCTGTTATACCCAAACGGTCAGCCATCTCTATGTACTGACCAGGCACGATGCTGCTTAACTTCGCTGACCGTACGAGAACCGGTGTTTTCGGTCGTAAGCCCGGTAATGTACTGAGCAGTAAACTGAAATGTACTGTATACTATATTACATTATGTATATATAATTATATATATAATATAATATATATATATATATTATATATATATTATATATATAGATTATATATATTACATTATGTAATATATATAATATTGTTGTGGTAGGATCCACCTAATTTGCATAGTGGAGTACCGACCATATAAATATGGTTGGTACCGGGAAGAGAGGAGAGGAATCAAGAGATTCAATCCAGAGATTCTGCCCGACTGCGACTAAGTCAACACATTCTCCAGGAACGGTCTTCCCAGGAATAAACAAAAGACTATATGTAAATATTGTGTACACTTTCTTGTTTCAATACATTTTGTTCTAAGTACATTTTGTGTTGTATTATTATTCCATGCATTAGTCAAGTTTCAACAAATATATATATATATATATATATATATATATATATATAATATATTATATAATAATGTATTACATATATAATATATATATAATATATTATATATATTATATATACATTATGTATATATAAATATTTATTATATATATGTATTATATTACATTATTTCGATTTGCAAACTGTAAATACGGTGCAATTCATTTTTTTTTTACTTTATTATTCATTCTATTTACATATTTTCTCCATCTTTACTGTCATCTTCGACGTTACGGCCATTGTACGCTCCGGCCTTCTTCGGGTGATATTTGTTGGAATTTCGATCCGAACACTTTATTCAGTCCGCAGATTCTAATTCCAAGTGCCATGCCCTTGGATATCTCGGTTTTGATCAATTCCCCATGATAAATTAGCGTTTCCACTTAAATATATAATAAAATATTTCATCATAATTTAGGCAGATACTACCAATCTATTGTGTAACAGGAGACATACCACGGGGCTTTTGTGGGGTCAATTAGGAGAAAATGAATAATATAATTCTGGAGCCGATGTTTTTTCGAAAAAAAGTGTATAAAACTCTCGAAATCCGGCCCCAAACATTAGACGCACAGATGTCACCAAGGCCACGTCAATCTTCAAGACCACATGCAAAAAGCTACAGCGTTGACAAGCTACAAAGAGATCGCTGCAAACTCCGGCAACACAGTTCGCAGTAAGAACTAAATTCTATTATTTGTATCCCCCGTTACAACTAAGCACGCACACACGTACTGATTCTCACACAAGTACACATATAACAACATTTCATTGTTTCACACATACGTACACAATACAATTTATATTTTATTCCAGAACATTATTAACCAAAAGAAAAATACATTACTTGCAAATCTATAACCACCTTTTTTTATTCTTGACGTTATATTAAATTGAAGTTTATTTGTTGATACTACGTTGTTTTTTCTACTGAAAATGAAAATTCGAGGGGTTATTCTCTAATGGCCGAATTACGAGCAGTCATGCAACAATATTTCATGTTATTATACCGATGCTCCGAATGTTGACATTTAACAAAAACCAGAGTAGAAGGATTCTTACAAACTCTCAAAATTTCCGTTCTCTCTGCAACTCACGACTCTTTGAGTCAAGCCACTTTTTGGATCAATCAAAGAGGTGAAGATACCAGCCTGCAGCACCCTTTAGAAATACCAAAAAAAATAAACATACCTTCGCTGTCTCTTATATATATATATATATATATATATATTTTCACGGCCATTGTAAATAACAGCTAATCCAATAATTGTGTCAAAGCCAGGTATCAATTATACACTCTATCAATATTATGAACAGGACTTCCTCTTCTAAAACGATAAAAAGTCGATATTTTTACATTCTGATAAGTGTTGCGTTCTGGGGAAGTTCTAACGAATGTAAATATAAAAGATATTTCTCGCAAAAAACAAAAAAGTAAATCCCTATTTTTTAGCGAGTGGACTCATAATTAAAAATAGTGCCAGAAGATCTACTGTAGCACAAATTGCAGTTAGTTTTAATCAAAGTGAAAGAAAGAAGGCTTCAAAAAAACGGTACTTGTGTCGGAACTGGCCTCTAAAAGAATGTCATTTGGTTGGAGGCAGTGTGATGGTTTCTGTCAACATCCTGCAAGATAATAATGGATTTTAAAATCACTGTGGAAGTTATTTATTTTTCCTATATTCTTATTAATTCCAGATATTGTACATAGTTTCTTCTTTTTTTTTTAATCATAATTTCTTGTAAACAAAACATTTCTTATATTAAAATTCTCTTTTGCAGATTTCCCATTGTATAAACGGAATGAACCAGAATATAGTAAGTTTTTTGTGAAAAAAATGACTGATTCTTTAATCTTTTTTCTTTCATTTTCATTATGCACAGTAGTAGAGACTACGACAAATCAATTGTATTGGTCACGTGTTATATTCATTTTAACTGTTTGAACATTATTATGGTAAAGGGTTCGCTTGAAAATTTATTACATCCAAAAACCAATGTATTACAATCATTACGTTCCTGCCCAGATTGATTCAATTACAGTCATTACATTCCTTCCCAAAATGATTCAATTACAGATATTAAATTCTTTCCAAGAATGATTTCATTACAGACAAGGAAGGAAGCAATGCAATGATTGTAATGTATTGATTTTGCGGAAGAAATGTAATGACTCTAATTTATTGATTTGGGGAAGAAATGTAATGAGTGTAATGTATTGGTTTTGAGGAAGTAATATAAAGATTGTAATGTATTGGTTCTGGGGAAAGAATGTAATGACCGTAATGTGTTGGTTTTGGGAAAAAATGTAATGACTGTAATGTATTACTTTTTGGGGAAAATGTAATGACTGTAACGTATTGGCTTTGAGGAAGGAAAGGAATGTAATGACTGTAATTTATTGGTTTGGAGAAGGAATATAATGTGTTGGTTTTAGAGAAGAAATGTAATGACTGTAATGTATTACTTTTTTGAGGAAAAGAATGTAATGACTGTAACGTATTAGCTTTGAGGAAGGAAAGGAATGTAATGACTGTAATTTATTGGTTTGGAGAAGGAATATAATGTGTTGGTTTTAGAGAAGAAATGTAATGACTGTAATGTATTACTTTTTGAGGAAAGAATGTAATGACTGTAACGTATTAGCTTTGAGGAAGGAAAGGAATGTAATGACTGTAATTTATTGGTTTGGAGAAGGAATATAATGTGTTGGTTTTAGAGAAGAAATGTAATGACTGTAATGTATTACTTTTGAGGAAAGAATGTAATGACTGTAACGTATTAGCTTTGAGGAAGGAAAGGAATGTAATGACTGTAATTTATTGGTTTGGAGAAGGAATATAATGTGTTGGTTTTAGAGAAGAAATGTAATGACTGTAATGTATTACTTTTTGAGGAAAAGAATGTAATGACTGTAACGTATTAGCTTTGAGGAAGGAAAGGAAAATGTAATGACTGTAATTTATTGGTTTGGAGAAGGAATATAATCTGTTGGTTTTAGAGAAGAAATGTAATGACTGTAATGTATTACTTTTTGGGAAAGAATGTAATGACTGTAACGTATTGGCTTTGAGGAAGGAAAAGGAATGTAATGACTGTAATTTATTGGAACGGAGAAGGAATATAATGTGTTGGTTTTAGAGAAGAAATGTAATGACTGTAATGTATTACTTTTTGAGGAAAGAATGTAATGACTGTAACGTATTAACTTTGAGGAAGGAAAGGAATGTAATGACTGTAATTTATTGGTTTGGAGAAGGAATATAATCTGGGTTTTAGAGAAGAAATGTAATGACTGTAATGTATTACTTTTGAGGAAAGAATGTAATGACTGTAACGTATTAGACTTTGAGGAAGGAAAGGAATGTAATGACTGTAATTTATTGGTTTGGAGAAAGGAATATAATGTGTTGGTTTTAGAGAAGAAATGTAATGACTGTAATGTATTACTTTTTGAGGAAAGAATGTAATGACTGTAACGTATTAGCTTTGAGGAAGGAAAGGAATGTAATGACTGTAATTTATTGGTTTGGAGAAATGAATATAATCTGTTGGTTTTAGACCAAGAAATGTAATGACTGTAATTTATTACTTTTTGGGAAAAAGAATGTAATGACGTAACCAATTGGCTTTGAGGAATTTAAAAGCAGACCAATGACTGTAATTTATTGGTTTGGAGAAGGAATAAATCTGTTGGTTTTAGAGAAGAAATGTAATGACTGTAATGTATTACTTTTTTGAGGAAAGAATGGGATGACTGTAACCAATGATTGTTGAGGAAGGAAAAACGAATGTAATGACTGTAATTTATTATGCAGGAGAAGGAATATAATGTGTTGGTTTTTAACCAGAAATGTAATGACTGTAATGTAACCACTTTTGAGGAAAAGAATGTAATGACTGTAACGTATTAATGACTTTGAGGAAGGAAAGGAATGTAATGACTGGGATTTATTGGTTTGGAGAAGGAATATAATCTGTTGGTTTTAGAGAAGAAATGTAATGACTGTAATGTATTACTTTTTTGGGGAAAGAATGTAATTTAACTGTAACGTATTGACTTTGAGGAAGGAAAAAGGAACCAATGACTGTAATTTATTGGTTTGGAGAAGGAATATAATGTGTTGGTTTTAGAGAAAAATGTAATGACTGTAATGTATTACTTTTTTGAGGAAAGAATGTAATGACTGTAACGTATTGGCTTTGAGGAAGGAAAATGACTGTAATGACTGTAATTTATTGGTTTGGAGAATGAATATAATCTGTTGGTTTTAGAGAAGAAATGTAATGACTGTAATGTAACCACTTTTTGAGGAAAGAATGTAATGACTGTAACGTATTAGCTTTGAGGAAGGAAAAGGAATGTAATGACTGTAATTTAACCACGCCGGAGAAGGAATGGAATCTGTTGGTTTTAGAGAAGAAATGTAATGACTGTAATTTAACCACGCAGGAAATGAATGTAATTTAACCAACGTACCAACGGCTTTGAGGAAGGAAAGCAATGTAATGACTGTAATTTATTGGTTTGGAGAAGGAATATAATCTGTTGGTTTTAGACCAATGCAATGACTGTAATGTAATTTTTTGAGGAAAAAGAATGTAATGACTGTAACGTATTAGCTTTGAGGAAGAAAATGAATGTAATGACTGTAATTTATTGGTTTGGAGAAGGAATATAATCTGTTGGTTTTAGAAAGAAATGTAATGACTGTAATTTAACCACTTTTTGGGAAAAGAATGGGATGACTGTAATTTAACCACTTTGAGGAAGGAAAGGAATGTAATGACCAATTTATTGGTTTGGAGAAAGGAATATAATCTGTTGGTTTTAGAGAAGAAATGTAATGACTGTAATGTATTACTTTTGGGGAAAGAATGTAATGACTGTAACCACGCAGACCAATGACTTTGAGGAAGGAAAAGGAATGTAATGACTGTAATTTATTGGTTTGGAGAAGGAATATAATGTGTTGGTTTTAGAGAAAAATGTAATGACTGTAATGTATTACTTTTGAGGAAAGAATGTAATGACTGCAACGTAATAGACTTTGAGGAAGAAAGGAATGTAATGACTGTAATTTATTAGTTTGGAGAAGGAATATAATGTGTTGGTTTTAGAGAAGAAATGTAATGACTGTAATGTATTACTTTTTGGGGAAAGAATGTAATGACTGTAACGTATTGGCTTTGAGGAAGGAAAGAATTTAATGACTGTAATTTATTGGTTTGGAGAAGGAATATAATGTGTTGGTTTTAGAGAAGAAATGTAATGACTGTAATGTATTACTTTTTTGGGGAAAGAATGTAATGACCAATAACGTATTGGCTTTGAGGAAGGAAAGGAATGTAATGACTGTAATTTATTGGTTTGGAGAAGGAATATAATCTGTTGGTTTTAGAGAAGAAATGTAATGACTGTAATGTATTACTTTTGGGGAAAGAATGTAATGACTGTAACGTATTGGCTTTGAGGAAGGAAAAAGGAATGTAATGACTGTAATTTATTGGTTTGGAGAAGGAATATAATCTGTTGGTTTTAGAGAAGAAATGTAATGACTGTAATGTATTACTTTTTGGGGAAAGAATGTAATGACTGTAACGTATTGGCTTTGAGGAAGGAAAGGAATGTAATGACTGTAATTTATTGGTTTGGAGAAGGAATATAATCTGTTGGTTTTAGAGAAGAAATGTAATGACTGTAATGTATTACTTTTTGGGGAAAGAATGTAATGACTGTAACCAATATTGGAAGGAAGGAAAGGCATGTAATGACTGTAATTTATTACCACGGAGAAGGAATATAATCTGTTGGTTTTAGAGAAAAATGTAATGACTGTAATGTATTACTTTTGGGGAAAGAATGTAATGACTGTAACGTATTGGCTTTGAGGAAGGAAAGGAATGTAATGACTGTAATTTATTGGTTTGGAGAAGGAATATAATGTGTTGGTTTTAGAGAAGAAATGTAATGACTGTAATGTATTACTTTTTGAGGAAAGAATGTAATGACTGTAACGTATTAGCTTTGAGGAAGGAAAGGAATGTAATGACTGTAATTTATTGGTTTGGAGAAGGAATATAATGTGTTGGTTTTAGAGAAGAAATGTAATGACTGTAATGTATTACTTTTTGGGGAAAGAATGTAATGACTGTAACGTATTGGCTTTGAGGAAGGAAAGGAATGTAATGACTGTAATTTATTGGTTTGGAGAAGGAATATAATGTGTTGGTTTTAGAGAAGAAATGTAATGACTGTAATGTATTACTTTTTGAGGAAAGAATGTAATGACTGTAACGTATTAGCTTTGAGGAAGGAAAGGAATGTAATGACTGTAATTTATTGGTTTGGAGAAGGAATATAATGTGTTGGTTTTAGAGAAGAAATGTAATGACTGTAATGTATTACTTTTCGGGGAAAGAATCCAATGACTGTAACGTATTGGCTTTGAGGAAGAAAAGGAATGTAATGATTGTAATTTATTGGTTTTGGAGAAGGAATGTAATAACAGTAATGTAGTACTGTTTGGGAAATGAATGTAATGACTGTGATTTATTACTTTTGGGAAGTAATGTAATGACTAATGCATTTGTTTTCAAAAAAAATGTAATGACTGTAATATATTGTTTTTTGGTAACGAATGTAATGACTGCAATGTATTGGTTTTTGGGAAAGAATACAGTGACTGTAACTTATTTGTTTGGCGAAGAAATGTAATGACTGTAATGTAATCATTCGTTAACCATCCGTGTTTTATATACATACATACAAGCGCTCGGAATTACAGAACATTTGAACAGTTTCTACACGTTCTGTGTCCAGAAATAAAACACTTGTTCGAACACAAGAAAAATTAAATAAATATGTGTGTGTGTGCTAATTGATATTTTAAACTAAATCGATATTTGTTTCAATTCAGATTAATTAAATTTTAATTCATCTACTTTTCTCAAATAACTTTTCGAAAAAGTCTATTTTATTTTTTAAAGATTTTTTTTTAATAACGAGAATTACGGTGTGTTGTCAGATTGGTCAATATGGACGATTTTATTGATAATCAGGAAAAAATAATTCCAATCAATTTAAATTTGGCTTGAAATACAGCAAAGTATTTTGCTGATTGGAAATATTAAATTAAATCTATTAGATTGGAAATGAAACTGAAATAAAACCTTCAAGAATTTTTTTCATTTTTAAGATGCATTTTAAACCTTAGGTATAGCTTTTTTCTCGAGGTACCTACACACACACACACACACACACACACACACACACACACACACACACACATATATATATATATATATATACATATATATATATTAGGGTTACGACCTTTTTGTAACCCTATCTTCCTGTTGATGATTTTTTTTGTTCAGAAGTAATGATAAAGACATTAATTTCTTTAACTTTCTGAAAAAGGTCACCCTCAAACCGAAAATTTGATTTTACCATCTACACAATAAGGGTAAAAGATCAAAATGTTTCAGAAACTTCATTTTTTCAATTTGCTGATGATATAATAGGATAGTACTTATACAATTTAAGGTACTTACTATTTTATAGCTATAGCTTAACATACAAACTTATAAATAAACAAGTTCTAGAAGGTTCGAGGAGGCCCTAGTAGGCCCCAGAAAGTCATAGTACTACTATACGTATATACGATTGTAGAAATTTCGTCTTTTAAAAATAAACTGATTTAAATCATTCTTCATTATTTTTCAATAAGAGTTCATCCAATTATGACACAGGAAAACAATTATTTTACAAATAGTCAAAAAGTCATCACGCACGCACGCACACACACACACAAACACACACACACACAAACACACACATATATATAAGTTGTGTTTATTTAGGCAGCATTTTTTCATTCATACATGTTTCATTAAATAATATAGACATGTGTTGTCTATCTATTTTATGTAAATTCTTTTCATATCGTCTGATAAGCTTAATAAGATTATCATTAAACGAAGAAAGAAAATCACAATATTGATCCATATTTTTTAATCCAATCTAAGCTTTCGGCTTACATAAGCCATTATCAAAGATGACAATTACAGTACAATATATTAAGCAATACACGGACAACAATGTGATGATAGTCTGTTTCTGTTTACATGGATGATTTCCAAGCAATGATAAACACGTGCATATAAGACGCTATTGTGGTTTTCAGGGAGCCGAAAAGATTATAAATAATGGAAGCTTTAACAATAAAAATATAACCAACACTAAATAATATTCACTGCGAACACGGCCACAATGTGCTGGCTGTGTTCGGAAAATAAAACATCCCTATAACTCTAGATACACACACACAGCCCATACAGCTAGTTAATAAAGATAAAATAAAATAAAGTAAAATAAATAGAAACATCCTTGATAATGGCTAAAATTATAGCTGAAAGCGCTCGGAATTACAGAACATTAGGGCGGTTTCTACACGCTCTGTGTCCAGAAAAGAAAACACTTGTTTGAATAAAAAGCTTAATAGCAGTACTTTGTCTGTCGTCTTTAATGAAACATGTATAAAAATTGGATTGTTGCCTAAATATACAATTATCAATATATATATATATATATATATATATATATATATATATATATATATATATATATATGTATGTATGTATGTATGTATGTATGTATGTATATATAAATAAAAAGAAAGAACAGTAAGATATATAATCCGGTGTTCTTATAGATATTTTTATTTTTACAAAATGGTGCTCAATGTAAATTTACATAGCATTAATATTATAAATTGATTTATTTAAAATATGGTTTTTTTTCGCTACACAGTTCTAACCATGTTTCAAAAATGGAAGCTTTTAGCTTTTAGCTTCCATTTTTGAAACGTGGTTAGAACTGTGTAGCGAAAAAAACATATTTTAAATAAATCAATTTATAATATATATATATATATATATATATAAGGTACAGTAAAATATATTTTCCAGAAATAACTTCCACATAATGACAAGATATTAGCTAGATGAAGCCACCAATGCCAGTAATGTCTTACCATTATGTGGTAGGTATTTCTGCCACACCCCATGCGCGTGTGTGTGTGTGTGTGTGTGTGTGTGTGTGTGTGTGTGTGTGTGTGTGTGTGTGTTTAGCTGGTATTTTTCTTTCCACAGTTTGTAAGGACAGTCCAGTTGATATTAGCTTGATCATCGATTCTTCGCGCAGTATTCATCCCTTCGACTTTCAAAGGCAGATTAACTTTTTGGTAAAGTTCGTGACCCTTTTCGACATCAGCCCAAACAGGGTGCGGGTGGCGGCCGTATCCTTCGGCTTGAAGGTCATCCAACAGGGCGCTTTCACTTTCAACAAATACGGGAGTACAGAAGAAGTTCAAAGTGGACTCCGGGGTATCAGGTACCGCGGTGGCGAATATGGCGAGGGAACAAATACTGCTTTGGCACTTGCGTTCGTCCGCAAGAAAATATTTCGAGACGCCCGCCCTGAGGCCAAAAAGCTGTGCATTGTCCTGACCGACGGACGCTCGACTGACCCCAAAAAGACCCAAGAGGAAGCAGCTTTGCTCAAAAGCGAAGACGTCCAAATGGTAGCCATTGGAATTGGAACGCTTATATCAATGGAGGAATTAAAAGGCATAGCAAGCAATTCTGATCTCGTCTTCACTGTGGGCAACCACTCGCTGCTTCAAACCATCAAAAAGCAACTCATACTGGCGATATGTACAGGTTATTATTACATTTCTTATTACGTAGTCTTAAGATTATCAAAACTTGTTCTATTATATTAGATTTAAGATTATCAAAACTCTTTTTTATTATAGTAGTCTTAAGATTATAAAATATTTTTTTAATATAGTAGACTTAAGATTATCAAAATTTTTATTATAGTAGTTTTAAGATTATCAAAACTTATTTTTTATTATAGTATTCACATAGATTATGAAAAAAATTTATTATAGTAGTTTTAAGATTATCAAAGTATTTTATTACACTATTTTAAGATTACGAACACTTTTTTATTACAATAGTTTTAAGATTATCAAAACTTTTTTAATTACAGTAATCTTAAGATTGTCAAAACTTTTTATTATACTAGTCTTAAGATTATCGAAACTTTTTTAATGACAGTAGTCTTAAGATTATCAAAACTTTTTTATGATACTAGTCTTAAGATTATCAAAACTTTTTTTATTAAAGTAGTCAAAACTTTTTTCATTTCAGCAGTTTTAAGATTATCAAAACTTTTTATTACAGCAGTATCAATATTATTAAGGCTTTTTTTATTATAGTAGTCTTAAGATTATCAAAATAATTTTTATTATAGTAATCTTAATAGTAGTCATACAGATTATGAAATTTTTATCATAGTCGTTTTAAGATTATCAAAGTATTTTATTACACTATTTTAAGATTATCAAAACTTTTTTATTATAATAGTTTCAAGATTATCAAAACTTTTTTTAATTACAGTAGTCTTAAGATTATCAAAACTTTTTTTAATTACAGTAGTCTTAAGATTATCAAAACTTTTTATGATACTAGTCTTAAGATTATCAAAACTTTTTTATTAGTCAAAACTTTTTCATTTCAGCAGTTTTAAGATTATCAAAACTTTTTATGATACTAGTCTTAAGATTATCAAAACTTTTTTATTAGTCAAAACTTTTTCATTTCAGCAGTTTTAAGATTATCAAAACTTTTTATGACAGCAGTATGAATATTATCAAGGCTTATTTTTTATTATAGTAGTCTTAAGATTATCAAAATATTTTTTCATTATAGTAATCTTAATGTCAAAACGTTTTTTATTATGCTAGTCTTAAGGTTATCACATTTATTATAGCATTTAAACATTTATTATTATAGTAGATTCCATCTATTATTATTTCCATGGAAAGTGTTCAGATGAATTACGTTACTTAGTTCTAACTTTCACGGCTAACAGTTGCCATGCCACGCCCATTATAGGGAACCACCCTCATCCCCTTCGTATACCATTGGTGAGATATAAAATTCCACTCGATCAGCTTCTTCGCACGAATCTCTGTTTTGTAGAACCCTCTCGTGCAGGGTGAAAATTATTGCAAAAAAAAAAAATAGCATTTTTTTTTTTATAGTGGTCTGAAGAATATAATAACATTTTTTATTATAGTAGTTTTAACATCATATTTTTTTTATTCTAGTAGTCTTATTATCAATGGCATTATAAATCAAACTAAACCTGGCCACTGGTCTTGAGAAAGGCCTCCAATCAGTGATTAAAATGGACAAAAAGTCGCTTGTAAATTTTAGTGCCTCTAAAACAAAACTGCTTTCATTTAATCACGACAGACAATCTTTTCTGTCTGCCATCAGCATAGCTTATGCTAAACTCCAGGAGAAAATACTCTACGCCCTCTTGGACTTACGTTTTCCCCTGACGTGAACTGAGGTGATTATATCGAATCACTTGCTACGTCTACTATAAGGATAGTTGTTTCACTGTGTCGTTCCAGAAAATTTTCTCGTCAGAATCCATCTTGCACATTTATAAATCTACCATTCATTCGTGCATTGAATACTGCTGGTCTGGTGATCCTACTATATATATAAGGGTTCTTGACAAAGTTCCGTCCTGGGTAAGACGATAAACCACATCCGACAGCAAGGCCTCTGGTCAGGAGGTTTTGAGGAGCGTGGAACCACCTCTTAATTGCTGGTGTTCCCAGGTCCACCCTGACATAGGGTAGTAGCACCTGTTAGGGTCTCAACTATGGGCAAATAGTTAACCTCCAAACTGGGGTCAAAACACTATGAAAGTGTAAAAATAGGTTTTAATACCAGCAATATTTTTTTTAATTTTTTACCAGCAATACATTTTTGAAGAAATAAATCTTGCCAGCAATACATTTTTGATAAAAATATTACCAGAAATAAAATATCTTGCCGGCAATAAAGCAACCCATTGAAGTTGACATGCCGTAAAACAAAACAAACCAAACCTTGACAAAATTCAAAGGAAATGTAATGTAATCGATCCTGACGTCACAAATTCAGTTATTTTTTTCACTGACGTGGCGTGACTTCCTCTGACTTTTCTACAAATATTTTCATGGTACCTGTTCTGATGAACTTTTTTGTCCTTAGTGCCTCGACTACATGAATTTAAACGTGCTACTTGTTTTGGCAATTAGACTCACCGTTTTACTGTTGAACGAGCAATATGCAAACTCTAATAGTTTCTTTTCTTTCACTTCCCACCTGTGAAACTCCCTTCCGATTTCAGCGGTAAGAGACGTAGTCTCTCTCAGATAAGAATGTAAGGTCCACGTTTCAGATTAGGGCCCCCAGGGATAGTAGTTGAAATCATGAAGTGAATAAAATGTTTCCCTGATAACTACAATCTTCAAAAATTGAAATGCAATGTCAGTTACGATCTTCTGCCTTCTTGAACGCTGACCCTTTATTGTCCTTTCCTCAATCCTCCACAAATTCCCCGTTACCGCCAAAAGGTTAATGTCATGTTTTGTAAGACATAATTACTGTAACATTCTACGCCGCCTTGGGTTCACGTTTTTTTTTGGTGGTGGGGGGGTTGTTTTGTCTTTTTGGGTTTTTTTTTTTACTGACGTGAAGTGGAGATACTATATTGAATCAACTGCTACGAAAAGAAAGTTGGTTCACCGTGTCGTTTCCAGAAGATCTTCTCGTCAGGATCCCTCACGTACATTCATAAATCTACTATTCGCCCGAGGAGTGGACATTGCTGCCATATCTGGTACGATGCCCTGCTATTCATCTCGAGATTCTTGACAAAAATCCAAAGAAGGATCTGCAATACAATCAATCCTAACCTGGCAACCCGACTTCAGTCACTTTCTCACCGACTTGACGTGGCTTGTATTGCTGCCATATATGGGCTGGAGCACCTTCTGCTTACCTCGGAATTCTTGACAAGATCCAGAGAAGGATATGTAATCTAATTGGCCCTGATCTAGCGTCTTGTTTGCAGTCCTCTCACAGACGCGCCGTCGCCTCTCTCTGTCTTTTTCTACAAATATTTCCATGGTAACTCCTCTGATGAGCTGTTTCTGGTTCCCAGACTCCATGAATTCAAGCGCCCACGAGGCTGGCATCCCGCTCTCACCCTTACACCGTAGAAACCTTCAAATATAGCCGTCTCTTCTACTCCAATAGCTTCATACCTCGCACCTCTCGCCCGTGGAACACCCTCCCCAGTTACTGCTTCCCTGAAAGCTATAATCTCCAACTATTCAAATGTAATGTCAACCGACATCTCCAATTACCTTGATCTACCCACTATACTTCTCCTCATCCTTTCTTCTATCACTCCTATCTGCTCTCGCTCCAAATCTTCCGCAACCCCCTGCATCCTAGTGGCTTCACGCCTTGCTTGGGGCACAATGCTTAAAAAAAAAATATATCTTCATGGTATCTGCTCTGATCAGCTTTTTTCCCTTGGTACCTCGACTATATGAATTTAAGCGTGCTACTAGATTGGCAATTAGGTCTCACCGTTTTACTGTTGAACTAGTTAGATGCAACCACCATTTTACTCTAACAGTTTCTTTTCTTTCACTTCCCACCTGTGGAACTCCCTTCCGATATCTTGCTTCCCTGCCAACTACAATCTCCAAAAATTGAAATGCAATGTCAGTTGCCATCTTCTGCCTTCTTGAACGCTGACCCTTTGTTATCATTTCCTCAATACTCCTCAAATTCTCCGATACCCTCAAAAGTTCCGATATTTCCGAATATCGATCCGATTCAGATTAATCGTCCCATTACTAATGTAAATCCATCCATACACGACATTATCAGAAAGTGAAAGCGATAATTGCAATAAATATAAAGCCAACATTTGTCAAATTCAGTAAAACATTAGATTATAGAGAATATTTTCCCAAATTTTTTAAGATTACTGAGTACTTAAAGGTTACATATAAGAGCCACTCACGTCATTTTCTTCAATAATGTTTTACAGATAAAGCCTCCGTAGAACAATATTAGATCTGTCATCTCATTCTTCTCGTTCTCTTTCACTTCATGCAACCCCCCACCTGCGTTCTAGTGTCCTTATCACCCTGCTTGGGGATGAAACGATTTTTTAAAAATTATAGTAGTTTAAACATTATCACCATTTTTTAATCTTAACATTGTCATAAAATGTATGACTTTAGTCTTACATTATAATACATTTTTATAGTAATCTTAACTTTCTGAAAATTTTCATTATAGTAGTCTTAATAATATGATAACATTTTTCTCGTAGTAGCCATCACAACATTTTATTTGTCTTGACATTTTCATAACCATTTTATTATAGTAGTCTTACATTTATAACGGTTCTAGTAATGTTACAATTTAACGTTTCTAGTAATTTTACAATTATAAGGTTTCTAGTAGTCTTACAGTTATATCGTTTTTTATTATAGTATTTGTAATAATTTTGTTGAAGTACTGAAATTGATATGATACTATTTGAAACTGGCAGAAGTGCCTGAAAAGTTTATTATTGTTTTACATTTTAGATTCCGTTCTTTTTGTTTTAAATTTTACATTGTGCACTTTTATTCTACGACGTTTGCACTTTCTTGCGCATATATACAGGGTGTATCAAAAATACTTATACACACTTTGGGCACGAGTTCCTTACCTAAACAAGGTCAAATGTCCATATAAACATATGTCCGCAAATCCTTCGCTTTTAAGTTCCAAGTTAGATGCTGTTAAATGTACAATCCCAGGTAATACTTATTACCATAGTTTGTAGTGCCACGGAACCTGTCTCAGCAACACAACGATAAACAGAAGCAAAGTTTGGTTGACCCAGCTGCCTTCGGTCTGGAAATGCATTCTGATACAGCCGTGCAGCCTCGCGTCCATTGACATTGGCGCCGTACGTAAAAATCATATCTGCCAGCCCAGGATATAAATATCCTGCCATTGTTAAACGGAACACTTCTTAGTTAACTCACTACTACACACGTTAAAAGTTGAAGACAGACTAGCCACAAATGTACACGAATGACAAATGTGACCTAGTCTATAGGATAACACAGCGCCAGATACCGTAAACTTTCTTTAAACGTAATAAATCAAAAACGAAGGATTTGAGAAAATATGTTTATATGGGCTTTTGTCCTTATTTTGATGTGAGAAATCGATCCCCAAAGTTTTTAAAATGTTTTTGATGCACCACATATAATACAAAGTAGAGCAATATATTATTATTTTTATTACAAAAGCTTATAATAAAAACATTTTTAAATCGCTACACAAAAGCTTTCATGTTTCAACATTTTGATTGTACTTCTTCAGGCCATGGTAAGTAACTGGTGATTAAATGATTTTTAAGGAAATTTAAAACTAAATTATTACCTCTTTTCCGAATGTCACTGACATATTTTCCGCAACCGCAAACGATGGCCTCTCTGTGTTCCAGTCCATCATGACATGAAAAAAACTCAGCCACCTTCACCCCTTCAGCCTCTGAACTTACTTTTCTATTTAGCGTAGATCTGAGATTTAATTGGTTAATCAAGACATACCCTCAAGTCTAATTTTAATTCTGAACTTATGTTTTTAAATTTTCTTAAAAATCATTTAATCACCAGTTACTCACCATCGCCTGAAGAAGTACAATCATAGTATTGAAACATGAAAGCTTTTGTGTAGCGATTTCAACATGTTTTTATTATAATCTCTTATAATAAAAATCTAATAATAATATATTGCTCTACTTTTGTATTATGCACTTTATTCAAAGTAAATACTAGGAACAGTGGATTTTACTCCATCTGTTCTTTTTTCTCATTTTGATACACCATATATATATATATATATATATATATATATATATATATATATATATATATATGTATGTATGTATGTATATTTGCAATCCTTCCTTTTATGCATGTTTCATTAAAACGACAGACAATTCGGAAATTAAAAACATCCCTACCACGCACTAAGACATACACGTAATGCAAACACTCAATTAAGCTGAAAAATAGAATCATCCTTGATAATGGCTAAAGGTATAGCCGAAAGCGCTCGGAAATATAAAACATTTGGACAGTTCTTATAAAGACACCCCTTGTCCAGAAAAGAAAGTTCTTGCTCGAGCACAAGAAAAATTAAATAAAAGCTTAACCGTAGTAATTTTTGTCTGTCGTTTTAATGAAAACATATATATATATATATATATATATATATATATATATATATATATATAATTAGTTACATTGTATCTATTAATGCCTGTATTATTGTTGTTGCAGACGTCGAAATTGTTACTGTTGTACCTCCAATAGAAAACGATAAAAGTAAGTAATACATCAGAAATAATTTATATTCAAGGTTGGATATTGCCCCACAAATTTCACTCTATAAACAAAGAATTACAATTTAAAGTTTTTACATTTTTATAATCTTAAAAAATATCTTTTTTATGTAGTGTGGCGCAGATAAATCCAGAAAAAATTTCATAGATAATAAAAACAACTTTTTTTTATATACCAAACTAAAATATTTCACTGACTTTATACACAGTTGGGCACATATTTAAGATACAAAAATCACTCAATATGGCCACCATTGGCAGCCACCATTTTCTCTAGGCGGGACTGAATGCTAGAGCAAATCTTGGCGAGGACGTCCCTGTCCATGTTTGTCATGGCGCCCCTGATGTCTGCTTTGAGAGCCTCCTTGGTGTTTTAGGATCTGCTATTCACCCTCCTCTCCAAGACGCCCAAAATAGTCGAGAGGGTTGCAGTCAGGCGATGTGGGGCATAAATCGGGTCTCTAATGTTATGGTAAACAAGTGGCGCCTCATAAGTGCATAGGATTTATAATTCAAGTCCTCTTTGACAATACGTCCGATTGTTCGTCTGCTGGTGCGCATTTCCTTGGCGAATTTATTCAATGCTTTTAGGGGCCCTCTTTGGCAACTTCAGCGACGAAATCAGGCGCGTCCCGGTGGCGCCAGGGCGCTGCTTATGGGTTTTGCGTTCTGGTCTGAAATTGCCCTTGACGTTCGAGGCTCCATATGCTTTTGCAAGGTTGTATACTATGGCTTTAGGGTATTTAAATCTTTCAAGGATTACCTTGGCATTGTGGTCGGGGCGAAGGCTCTAACAACAGCAGCTTGACGATCGTCTTCTGTAGACATATCGATTACTAAGCACCTCGGGTATCAATGACCAGACAGTTACTGAGGTGTAGTAATTTCTAATGGCGCTCTCGAAACCTCGCTACGCTGTGACACCCCGGCGCTGTTGCCACGTAAAATTCCAGATTTATATGCGCCACACTGTATATATTCTAGTTTTACAAGGAACATGTTTACAAACAGCAGCGATGTTCCGGCCCATAAAAAGAATGTCAGAAATCCACACTGTGACAATAATAAATCTACCATATATGGTTTTGTAAGAGCCTAGGTCTAAAGTTAGGCATTATCATACAACACCACACGGAAAGCCTCTATCTTGATTGACTCTCGAGCCTTGGATTGGGTGAACATTTTTTTTTTTGACCGGTATCACCCCATGCAAGGCAGGGAAGCCACTAAGACACAAAGGGTCACTGGGTGTGGAAGAATTAAGAACAGAAACATTACTGATGAGCAGAAAGAGAAAAGAATAATCAGGATAGCGATTGACATTGCATTTAAACTATTGCAGATTAAAGTTGGAAGGGAGCTCCACAAGCGAGAAGAGCACGAAAAGAAACTGTTTGCATAGAACTTACGGCTGCATCTAGCCAGTTCAACTGTCAATTGATGAAATCTAGACGCCATTCTAGTACTGCTCTTAAATTAAAAAAAAAAGTCTAGGTACCATAGCAAGGATCTCATAACAAATCAGAAGCTGAGACAAAAGTAAAGCTGAATGTATTGGTTAAAATTTGTATCAAAATAACAAAAATGAAGACAATAGGCTATAAAGTATGCCGAATAATGAAAATCCGTCATACAGCAAAAATTGGCTGAAAAATATCGTTAACATATACCGATATGTGGGGAGAATGTACGCTGTTGTCGGATAAACACCTCACCCATAAGTGATAAACTCCTGATTATCGTGCTCTTACCTACTAGGTGGCGGGGGGTGGGGAGAAATACAACGTTTGTTATTATTGATATTTATATTAGTTTAATTATTAATAATAATATTTGTATCGTTTGTTTGCAGATGTTGAGAATGTTACCAAAGAAATCCCGTTACAAAATGACGAAAGTAAGTAGAATATCCGAAATAATTTATATTTACCTT